CTCCTCATCCTCCTCATCCTCCTCATCCTCGTAATCATCCTCGTCCTCGTAGTCATCTTCTTCCTCCTCATCGCCGTCCTCCTCGTCCTCCTCTTCTTCGTCGTCCGACTGTTTGACTGGGGCAGCCGCACTCATGCGAGCCAGCAGCGAGTTACCCGCGCCGCTCGGCGTCGCCTCCTTGTCCACCTCATCCTCCTGCTTGGACTTGGCTGGCGTAGCTGCTGCAAACCGCGACGTCCTGTTGCCCGTTGCAAACGCGCCGAATCCAGAGCCGCTCATGCTGAACGCCGACTTGGGCGTACCCTCGTCCCGAGCCGTGGGCGTCGAGGGCGACGACGACGCCATGCCAAAGCTCGACACGCTCCCGAACGCCGAGCCTGGACTCGCAGTCGGCTGCGGCACAAAGCTGAATGCCGCCGCCGTCTTGACTCCAGCATCAGAGGGCTTCGAGAACGCACCCGATCCAAACGACGATCCAGAAGGCTTGAACGCAAACGCCGATACGGCCGATGCCGACGGATTCAGCTTGCTCGGCGCAAAGCTGAACGCCGGGACGGTCGATGTCGTAGCGCCGGTCTTAGCAGGCTCCGCTTCCTTGGACGACGCTGCTCCAGACTCGCTCGTAGCCGCCTTTTCCGTGTCTTTCTTTGCGCTGTCCTTGTCGGCGGGCGACTTGGCCGGCTCCGGTTCCTTGGGAGCCGTGAGCGGCTGCGTGTTCCTTGGCTCGGTCGGCTTGCAGAACGAGAAGTTGGACGGATTCGATTCTGCCTTGACCTTGCTCTCGGCATCCTTGGCATCCGCCGCGGGCTTCGTCTCCTCCCTCGCCGGTGTCTTTGCCGCGGCGGGGGCAAAGCTGAAGCCCGTGCTGGCAGGCTTGGGCGCGGGCGCCTCAGACGCAGTCGTAGCTGGCGTGCTGGACGTAGCTGTCTCCTTATCGGCCGCTTTACCAGCGTCGCCAAAGCTGAAGCCGCTCGCAGTAGGACTCCTCCCTTCAGAAGCACTGTCGCCAGTCTTCTTGCCAAGACCGCCAAAGCTGAAGCCGCCCGTGGCTGGCTTCGCTGCCTCTGCGTACGGCTTGGCAGCGGCATCGCCCTTCTTGCTGGCATGCCCGAAGCTGAATCCGGCAGTAGACTTGGCCAGCGCAGAATCGGACTTGGCGTCCTGCGTGCTCCCCGTCGATTTGCCGGCACTTCCAAAGCTGAATCCAGTCGAGGCAGGCTTCGGCGAGGCAGGATCCTTCTTGACGTCGCCCGCATCCTCTGCCTTCTTGTCGAGGTTGAGGCTGAAGCCGCTGAAGGCAGGCTTTGCGGGTGCAGCATCGGGCTTTCTGTCCTGCGCATTCTCTGTCTTCTTGCCAGAGTCACTGAAGCTGAACCCGGTGAAGGCAGGCTTTGCCGGCTCAGAAGCCGAAGGAGCGGATTGACTGCTCTCGACCTTCTTGCCGACATCACCGAAGCTGAAGGCGCCGGCGGCAGGTTTGGCTGGCGCAGCGTCGTCTGCCTTAGCAGCTTCGGGCTTGTCGGTCTTCTTGCCCAGATCAACAAAGCTGAAGCCAGTAGCTGCAGGCTTTGGTGCGTCGGTGGACGGCGGTGCAGACTGAGCATTCTCGGTCTTCTTGCCAAAGTCGCCGAAGCTGAAGCTAGGCTTGGCAGCAGGGGCCTGCTTGTCCTCGCCGGGCTCGCTGCCGAACGATCCGAACCCCTTGAACGCCGGCTTGTCTGCACTCTTTTCCTCCGTCTTTGCCTGAAGAGGCAGAGCAAAGAAGTCCGAGGCCGCCTTGGCTGCGCCTGCAACGTCCTTGGATGCCTGTGTGCCCTCGGAGGGCGGGAGCTGGACAGCACTGCCGCGCGATTTGGGCTTGCTCGAGTGCGAAGCACGGATGCTGCTCGGGCTTGAACTCGGTGCGCGCGCTCCGGGTTGGAACGGCGTATCCTCCTGCGCGGGCAGATCGAACATGCCCGCAGGCACCGAGCTGAGCTTGCCGAAGTTGAGCGGCGCACCGCTGCCGAACGCCGGCTTGTCCGTGGTCTCGGCCGCAGCAGGCCTACCAAACCCGGCAAACGGCGCAGGAGTCGGCTTGGCAGGGGAAGCGGCCGGTGTCCCGAAGCCACCAAAGCTCGAAGGAGCGGATGCAGCCGGTTTGTCTTGACCTTCGCCCTGAGAGACAGGCGGCTTTCCGAAGCCGCTGAGACTTAGAGGAGCAGACGCAGCAGGAGGCTTCTCGGCCGCGCCTTGGGTGGCAGGCGACGTGCCGAAGCCGCCGAAGCTCGGAAGAGCGGATGCAGCCGGTGGCTTTTGACCCGCGCCCTGGGAGACGGGCGGCGTGCCGAAGCCGCCGAAACTCAGAGGAGCCGACGCGGCGGGGGGCTTCTCGGCCGCGGCATGAGTGGGAGGCGGCGTTCCAAAGCCAGCAAACTTGAGAGGCGTCGAGGGCTGCTTCGAACCCGCAGCCTCAGAAGCTGCAGGCGCAGCTGAAGAGGCCGTCTTGCCGAAGCCAGCGAAAGGAGTGGACGCCGGCTTGGGAGCAGCGTTGGCAGGCGTGCCGAATCCTGCCAGGGTGAAGGGTGTGGGAGTTCCGTCCGTCTTGGCGGCTGAAGCAGGGAATGCAGAGGTCGCTGGTGCAGATGCGCCAGGCGCAGCAGCGGCTGTGCTCGTCGCAGGCGGAGCAGGAGACCCAGCAGGACGAGCTGGCGGCGTCGAGGTTGCAGGCGCAGGAGGCTTCGATAGCACAGGCACAGGCACATTCTTTCCGGCCGACGCGTACTGATCAGCACGTGGTGTGCTTGGCGGCTTCTCGATCTGAGCCGGTACTGCAGCTGGGGTCGGCGCAGGCGGCCGCCTACCTAGATGCACGGGGCCCTTGGCAAAGGCGATCTGGAGGTCGGACCCCTGCATGGGTGTCGTCGTCTTGCGACCGACCTGCTGCGTCGTCGGCACCGCCCGCTTGTTGAGGACGGGAATCTTGCGAGCATTGACAAAGACGTCGACGCTTTCGCTCTTGACCTGCTCAGCGCGTGCGATCTGATCCACCGATCGTACCGCCGTTGCAGCAGGCAGCGTCCTCACCAAGCTGCTGACATCGCCGAGCGCTGCGCCGTCTTGGATGCCACTCAGCACCGACACTGCGCGCGATTCCGAACGACGCAAGTCGCGCTCCGTGTCACCTTCAGCGGGCCGCATGAGGTCCATCTCGAGCGCGAGGTTGTCGAGCTGGAGTGTGACTGCCGTTGTACGAGCCGTGATGTTCCTGCATGCTCGAGCGATCGAGTCCAAGCTCGGGGCTTTAAGGGTGGCCCTGCCGGTCTTTGCCGCCTGGATCCTATCCTTGAGTGCAGCCAGGTATTCCTCGAGCTCGGCGATGCGCGACTGGACGATTTGGCTTGCTTTGCGTAGCTTGGTCTGGTTCTCGACGTGCTCGGGCCCGAGCTGCCTGATGCGGATCATTTTGGCAAACTCGGGGTCGCTGCGGGCGCGGATGAAGCGCGCGACCTCTTCGCGCTTCGCCTCGGCCTTGAGCTGCATGCTCTGCAGCTCGGCGACCGCGCGCTTGTGGCCGGCAGCCTCGTTCTCCACGCGCTCCGTCAGCGGGCGCATCGACTTGGCAAGGGCAAGCATCTTGGGCAGGTCACCGAACGACCACTTGGTGTTGTCGCCAAAGTCCTCGACAGAGTGCTGGAGCGGAGTCGGTTCGCGAAGATCGGCAAGGAAAGAAGCGCATTGCTCGACGTTGCTGCGAAGCACCTCGAGCTCTTGAGTCAAGACGAGGTAGGCTTTGAGGAATTCGCCCTGAATGCCGCTCTCTGCGACCTTGGCCGGCTGCGCATTGGTCGAAGAAGATAGCTGGGGCGCTCGTCCCGCCACCAGCGGGCTGCCGGAGCGCACATCGGCAGGCTTGTCGGCGGGAGCGGGCGGTGCTGCTTTCGTCGCTGGTGTCGGTGCAGGACCCGGAGCAGGGGACACCGCGGGCTTTGCTGACGAGCCAAAGCCGCCAAACGAAGGTGCGAGGGCAGAGCCGAAAGGCGCCGATAACTTGGCGGGTGCTTCAGCCTTTGCAGCTTCCGGCTTCTCTGCCTTCGGCTGCCCGAATCCGGAGAAGGGCGTCGGGGTCGGAGAGAACGGCGAGGGCGATCCTGCACCAGATCCGAAGCCGAAGCCCGCCTGAGCTGACTTTGGCTTGTCCTGCTGGAACGAGAAGGGCTTGCTTGCCGTCGCAGCTGGCTTTTCGGGCGAGCCGGCGGGCGTCTCGTCCGAGCTGTTGAGTGGCGCCGACGTCAGTGGCGAGCTGCTGCGGGGCGCGCTAGAGTTGAAGCCCAGGAACGAGCCCCCTGAAGCGCCGGTGGTGGCGGGCGTCGACTTTGCCGGCGTCGACGCCGGCAGACTGCCCGGTCCGCCGAAGGAGAGAGGACTCTGCGCTGCCGAAGGCTTGCTGGCTTCAGGCTGCGTCGTAGGAGTCGACGTGGGAGCTGGTGACGGCTTATCCAGGTTGGCAAAGGAGAAAGCTGGAGCGTCTTTGGCCTGCCCTGAAGTTGATGTGGGTGGCGTACCGAAGCCGCCAAAGCCAGTCTGCTTTGCTGCAGGTGCCGCTTGAGAGGGAGCGGGCGAATTGCCGAAAGAGAAGGCCGAAGCGGGCTTCGACGGCTCTGCCGCTGCAGGCTTGCTCTGGGGCTCACCTTGCTGAGAGCTGGTCGAGAGTGCTGGAGCCTTTGATGCTGGCGCGAAACTGAATGTCGGCTTGGGAACTTCCGTTGCAGCTTTGCTGGATGAAGCCTGTGCCTCCTGAGTTGGCGTTTGTGTGGCAGACGGGCTGGGTTGTGCTGGCTGCGATTCCTTCTTCTGAGCCTCGCCGTTCTTGCCCTCGACGTCTGCTTGCGTCGTTGCTGTCGCGGTGGAGCCCGATGTGGTGGGCGGCGCAGAGGCATTTGCACTTGCCTTGTGGTTGCCAAACGAAAAGGGCTGACTGCCGAATGTGGCGCTGGCATTGAAGCCTGGCTGGAGCGAGCTGAAGGCCGGGGCCGGCGGAGGTGGCGATGTGGCCTTGGCAGCCTGTGCGTCTTTGCTCGGAGAGGCGGCCGCACTGTTGCTGCCGAAAGTACCGGACGGGTTGAATGAGAACGGCTTTGCTGCCGTCTCGCTCTTGGGCGTCTGGACGGTCGAGTTGACGCCCGAGTCTGGCGTCAGTGCACCCGCGTCCTTCTTGGACGTCTGCACCGACTCCTTCTTTGACGATTGGGCCGAATCGTTGCTGCTGAACATATCGCCCATCCCGCCGAAAGAGAAGCTGCCCGAGTCTTTGCTGCCGGTGTCCGAAGCATCTGCACCCTTGCTTTTAGCACCCTTGTCTTCTGCTTGCTTGTTCGCGGCGAAGGCCGAGAACGATCCCTGCCCGAAAGCGGAGGTAGTCGAGCCGAAAGCGGATGGTGGTGCAGCAGTTGGCTTTGGCGCGGTCGAGGCCGAGGAGCCAAAAAGACTACCTGATGTGCCCTCGCTCTTGGTCTCGAGCTTGCCGCCGCTGCCGAAGACGGAGCCTGCGGAAGGGCTCGAGGTTGACCCAAAAGCGCTTGGTGCCTTGGCAGCGAAACCGCCGAAGCCAGAGCCAACGGAGGTGGAGCTGGCATCCTTGGCAGCAGAAGGAGTGCTGAACGCGCCGAACGCCGAACCCGGGCTAGCCTGAGAGGGCGTGCTAGCCTTGGCAGATGCAAAAGGAGACGTTGTCGAGCCGAATGCAGGCGCAGTGCCGAAAGCTGAAGTGGAGCCGAACCCGGCGGACTGACCAAAAGCAGGCTTGGCGGGGGTCTGGCCGAACGCCGACGTCGATCCGAACGCGGACGTCGATCCAAAGGCAGAAGCAGGGGTGGACGGCGTGGAAGGCTGGGCGGGACTCGCCGCCGCGGTTCCAAACGCGGATGCAGCAGGCTTGGCACCGAACGCGCTGACGGGGGCTGGTGCCGTCGATGCTGGAGTGGAAGTAGCGGACTTGGTCGGAGGAGCAGAGCTATCCTTGTTCGTCGACTGATCCGATCCGAAGCCAAAGCCCGTTGAACCAAATGCCGACGTCGGTTTGCCTGAGCCAGCTCCTCCGCTGAAAGCACCAAAGCCGAATCCACTGGAGGGCTTAGAAGGCGCGCCAAAGGCTGACGACCCGGTCGAAGGGCTCGGAGAGGACGAGGCAAACGCAGACGATTGGCCGAATGCCGAAGACTGACCGAAAGCAGATGTCGTTGACCCAAATGCTGGCTTGGCGCCGAAAGCCGAAGACTGTCCAAAGGCCGACGGCTGGCCAAATGGTGAGGCAGATCCGAAGGCGGAGGCAGGTGTGCTCGGCTGAGTGGCCGGCGCGGCGGCTGGAGTAGCCGCTGATGCTGCCGTATTTGTGGCGGAAGCGGATGCTGCTGGAGCTTGGGAGGAAGACTGGGCGACTGGAATTGCGGAAGGCGTCACCATTCCGTGGAAGGGCCCTTGGGTGTTGATGACATTGTATGCGAGCAAGACGCCGTCGGACGTGTAGACGTAGAGGATCGGAACGGAAGGCAGCTTGGTGTTACCATCACCCCGGGCGACTGCATTGGGATCGTCGACCTCGTCTGCCGAGGTCAGGTCAAAGTCGATTGCCACGGGTGCGGTGTCGGACGACTGGTCGACCGAGGAGAAGGGCAGGATCGGCTTGGACGTCTCTTCGAGCTCAACCGTTGCCCATGCTGCGGGTCCGCTTTCAGTTGCTGAGCACGAGATAAGACCGACGTCTGTGCTCGGGCCGCTAGCGACAAAGACGAGATGTTTAGAAGGATCCCATGCTTTGAGCCATGCGGCGTAGCGCGTGCCCGAACGTGCAGTGTCTCCGTATGGCGGTGCGGGATCCATGGGCATCTTTGCGAATGTGATCTTTCCTGCCTTGGCATCCCTGAGAACGGTGTAGACTTCGTACGAGTGCTCGGGGTCGTCGTCGGGCGAGCCGGAGGAAGGCAGGTTGTAGGTAGCGATGAAGACGTGGTTCTCGAGCCATCGGAGGTCCGAGATGAAGTATTGCCCTGGGAGCGATTCGGGCTTGGCGATGCGATCCTTGGGCTCTCCTTCTGGCGTGACTTGAACAATCTCGCCAGACTCGAGACCGACGGCAATCTGCTTGCCCTTGACAGACCAGCAGACGGCTGTGGCACGCGAGCCGGTGGCACTGAGCTGAGCACCGAAGGAGCCCGAGCGCACATCGACCATGATGGGCGTGCCCGACTCAACGCCGGGCGTGCCGTCTTGGCGGTAGAGGGCGACAGCAAGTTCGGGTCGGTCTGAAGGGTTGGGGACGAGGTCGATCAGCGGCAGGTTGGGCGAGGGCGGCTGCAGGACAAAGAGGGGATCCAGCTTGGCGCCCTCGACTAGACCGGTGACGGCCCATGCTGCAATGATGCCATTCTGAAAGCCGACAAGAACGGTCGCGTGATTGTCGGCGGAGCGAATGAAGGTGGGCAGCGATGCGATGCACGCGGCAGCGACGGTGTCGATGAATCGCAACGACTTGTCGAACGCGGGCGAGGTGTTGCGTGCAGCTGCAGCAAAGAAGCTCCTCAGATCCGACGTCCGGATGACCGAAAAGCCGGTGTTGGTGGCGGCAAAGACGAGGCCGTTGACGTCCGAGACCGCGAGCAGGTTGGTGTGCTGCTTGGATTCGGCGACGCGCAGCGGCTCGGAGAGACGGACGGTGACATCCTTGGCGATCTGGCGCAGCACGAGGTGCTTGGCCTCGGCTTCGGACGCGTCAGTCTCTGAATAGGTCAAGGAGGACATGGTGCTGAGCCAGTCGAGGGGCGACGCGCACGCGCTAACGCTGAGCGCAACGACGGCTGCGTTTGTTGCGCCGTTGCTTAGGGACAGAGGAGTGCGTTGCGAGCGACTGAGCGCGATGAGGGCATGGGGATGAGGATGGTGTTTGACCCAGCACGTCGCTTGCTTGCGTTGTTAATGAGGTGCGGAGCGTCGTCGAGACGTGGGTTGGTTGATGAGAAAGAAGCCACAGAGCCGAGTGAAGTCCTAACCAACAACGCAGCTCAGCGCTTTTTGGAAGATCCGACAGCCGCAGATGGCAGCAAATCGGGAGAGCCTCCATCGGGCTCAAGGTTTGGTGGGCTGCTGCGCGTTTTTGGAAAAGGTCAGAAAGTCGGCAGCTTCGCTCCGTCTTCCGGAAGATGTCACATCTTCTTAGGCCACCTTCACCATCATCATCACCGTCTCGTCTCCTACATTCGCAAACATGGTGGCACAGAGGTACACGCTCTCCGCACTGCGGTCGACGCTGTCGGCCGCCTCGAATGCGCCGCGCCAGTCGGTGGCTACGTCGTCTCGCACCTTTGTCTCTAGCCCTTACAGCCGCTCGGATCGACCACCCACAGGCAGCTTCCCTCCGTCTTCGCATCCGCAGCAGAACGACGCTTCATCGAGCACATTCAGCTCTTCAAGGCCTGCCGCGAACTTTGGCGCCGAGGGAGTCGGATCCGAGTCCAAGCAGACGCACTTTGGCTTCAAGACGGTGGCGGAAGAGGAGAAGGAGTCGATGGTGGCTTCAGTGTTCTCCTCGGTGGCATCCAAGTACGACGTGATGAACGATGCCATGTCGCTTGGCATCCACAGGCTGTGGAAGGACCACTTTGTGTCGAAGCTCGATCCGCGCGGCGGCATCAAGGTGCTCGACGTGGCTGGAGGCACGGGCGACATTGCGCTGCGCATCCTCGACCATGCGCGCACCAAGCACTTTGACCGCGAGACGCACGTCACCGTGCTCGACATCAACCCGAGCATGCTCAAGGAAGGCCAGAAGCGATTCAAGCAGACCATGTACTGGGGCGGGCCGCAGGTGACGTTCCAGCTGGGCAATGCGGAGCAGCTCGACTCGAGCATGCCCGTGCCGCCGGAGCCCGTGCGTGGGCCGAACAGCAAGCAGCCGTATCTGCCACCGCTGATCAGCGAACCGATCGCAGACGAGTCGATCGACCTGTTCACGATGGCGTTTGGTATCCGCAACTGCACGCACATCGACGAGGTGCTCAAGCAGGCGTACCGCGTGCTCAAGCCGGGCGGCGTGTTCAGCTGCCTCGAGTTCGGCAAAGTCAACGTGCCGTTCTTGGCCGAGGCGTACAAGCAGTACAGCTTTAACGTGCTTCCGCCGCTGGGACAGATGCTGGCGGGCGACCGAGCATCATACCAGTACCTGGTCGAGTCCATCGAGCGATTCCCGACGCAGCCGCAGTTTGCCAGGATGATGAAGGAGGCGGGCTTCCACCTGCCCGGCTCGCCCACCGCCACGAGCCTCGGCTTCCCTGCCGAGTCTGGCAGCGCACCAGGCAGCGAAGACGTTGCAGGCGCATGGGAGGATCTCACGTTCGGTGTCGCCACCATCTGGACTGGCATCAAGCTTTAAGTTTGTTTCGGCGCTCGCCAACGCTCAATCCTGCCACCACGCATCGTAGCTCGTCACTATTGTAGCAAATTTCACCGTATGATCCTTGTAATACGGACACCACTTCTCCCTCGTGACTCGGCCTTTGCAAATTCTGCGACTTCACTAGATGAGCTCGAGGAGCGGGCGTTGATGATGATGCTGATGATGAGATGAAGAGCGCTTCGTGTAGCGATGTTAGAGCGATGCTACTTCGCAGCTTCAAAATTGCTCACGCTTAGCCAAAGGCGCGAAATGTGGAGGATTGGACCCGATCACGACAGCGGTTCCACCGAGGCGGCCCAGCAGCAGCAGCAGCAGCAGCGTCACTCTTCTGCGCTTGGGCCGGGCGTGGAAAAGTGGCCTTCGAAAGTGCTCTGGAGTCGCGTGGGGCTTGTCAGCGCGTGCTGTTGATTGCCGGCCAAGTCGCAGCTGCGCTCTCCAGCTGCGCTCTGCGCACTCGAGGCCCGGATTTTAACGATGCGGCAACGAGCTGAGCCGCCGTGGCTTTCGAAGCGCCGCTGTCAGATTGCTCGACTGCCATCACTCGCCACGCCATGCCAGTGTCAAGAAGCACATCGGCACATTTCCGTCTCTCGACCCCACTGCACCCCATCCCACCATCACGTCGGCTCGCATCCGATCCCTGGCGCGATTCGCTCTGGCCAACTTGAACGCAGCACCTTCTCCGTCCGCAACGACCTCAAGCCGCGCTTGCGCCTCTCCGTCCATCACATCCCGATCAGGCAGTCCTGCCTGCGCCTCCTCGCCATCCATCGATCTCACGCATCCCTGCGCTCCGCCTGACAGCCGACTCTTCTTGTTTTTTTTTGATCGGACCGCCATCTGCACTCTACCAGGGCTAGCTGCTCAGGCCTGAGCCGCCATGTCTGCCGCCTCTGCCTCCTCGTCGGCCGCCGCCGGCCAGACCCGTCTGCCCGCCGTGCACGATGCAAAGGCAACCTGGGGCTTTCTGGAGCCAGGCATCGACCTCATGATGACCCGCCTAAAGGAAGGCATGACCTACCCGCGCTACATGGAGCTCTACACCGTCGCCTACAACCACTTCACCTCCTCTTCGCTCGCCTCCTCCTCGACCGTTCTCGGCCGATCCTCCGGTCCCTTCGGCTCAAAAGGCGGCACCAACCTCGTCGGCGCAGAGCTCTACAACTGCCTCATCGGCTACTTCCGCACCCACCTTGAGCACGTCCGCCAGGGCTCCGACGGCCTCTCAGAAGAGCCCCTGCTCCGCTACTACGCCACCGAATGGGACCGCTACACCACCGGCGCCAACTTTGTCCACCGCCTCTTTGCATACCTCAACCGCCACTGGGTCAAGCGAGAAAAGGACGAGGGCCGCAAGTACGTCTACACCGTCTACATCCTCGCGCTCGTCCAGTGGAAGGAGCACATGTTCCGCTACGTCCAGCAGAAGGGTCGTCTCGTACACGCCCTGCTCAAGCAGATCGAAAAGCAGCGCAACGGCGAGGTCATCGAAGCCTCGCTCGTCAAAAAGGTCGTCGACTCGCTCGTCTCGCTCGGCCTCGACGAGACCGATACCAACCGCCAGAACCTCGACGTCTACCGCCAGGAGTTCGAGAAGCCTTTCCTCGAGGCCACCGAGGCGTACTACATCGCCGAATCCGACGCCTTTGTGGCGCAGAACACCGCCACCGACTACATGAAGAAGGCAGAGACCCGTCTCAAGGAGGAGGAGGACCGAGTCGAGCTCTACCTCCACGCCTCCACCCGCACCAAGCTCGTGCCCACGTGCGACAGCGTGCTTGTGCGCCGCCACTCCACCATGTTATGGGACGAGTTCCAGCAGCTGCTCGACAGGGACCACGCCGACGATCTCTCGCGCATCTACACGCTCCTCTCGCGCATCCCCGAGGGCCTCGAGCCGCTGCGCACCAAGTTTGAGCAGCACGTCAAGCGCGTCGGTCTCGCGGCCGTCGAAAAGGTCGTCGGCGGATCCGAGCCCAGTGCGGCTGCCAATGGCGCTTCGGCTTCGACATCGGCGGCACCCGCGGCTGCTGCTGCCGCTGCTGCGAGCGACTCGCTCGACCCGGGCGCGTACACATCGGCCCTGCTCGAGGCGCACCGCGCCAACCTCAACACCATCAACGTCGCCTTCCGCGGCGAGGCAGGCTTCCTCGCGGCGCTCGACAAGGCGTGTCGCGACTTTGTCAACCGCAACAAGGCGACAGGCACGTCGACATCCAAGTCGCCCGAGCTGCTCGCCAAGCACACCGACGCGCTGCTCAAAAAGTCGAACAAGTCGTCGGCCGAAAGCTCGCTCGAGGATGCGCTCTCGGACGTCATGGTGGTGTTCAAGTACATCGAGGACAAGGACGTCTTCCAGAAGTTCTACTCCAAGATGCTCGCCAAGCGTCTGGTCAACTTTGCCTCGGCGTCGGACGATGCGGAGGCCAACATGATCTCGCGGCTCAAGGAGGCGTGTGGATTCGAGTACACCGCCAAGCTCGCGCGCATGTTCACCGACATGGGCCTGTCCAAGGAGCTCAACGACCACTTCAAGGAGACCATGGCCAAGAACCACGACAAGGCCGAGTTGGACGTCGACTTTTACGCGCTCGTCCTCGCCAATGGCTTCTGGCCGCTGCAGGCGCCGACGACGGACTTTAGCATCCCGACGGAGCTGTTGCCGACGTACGAGCGCTTCCAGCGTCACTACAGTGCCAAGCATTCGGGTCGCAAGCTGACATGGCTGTGGCAGTTGAGCAAGAACGAGGTGCGCGCCAACTATCTGCAGCAGAAGCTGCAGTTCCAGACGTCGACGTTCCAGACGGCGGTGCTGTTGCAGTTCAACACGAACGACGTGCTGTCGCGCAGTCAGCTTGCGCAAGCGACGGGGCTGAATGATGCGACGCTCAAGGCGGTGCTTGCGATGCTGACCAAGGCCAAGGTGCTGCAGGCGTCGGGCGACGAGTCGTACGAGCTCAACGTCAACTTCAAGTCGAAGAAGCTGCGCGTCAATCTCAACCTGCCCATCAAGAGCGAGCAGAAGATCGAGAGCAACGACGTGCTCAAGACGGTCGACGAGGATCGCAGGTTGCTGCTCCAGGCGACGATCGTGCGCATCATGAAGAGCAGGAAGCAGATCAAACACCAGGCGCTCATCCAGGAGACCGTCGCCCAGGTCAGCTCGCGATTCACCCCGCGCGTACCCGACATCAAAAAAGCCATCGACCAGCTGATCGACAAGGAGTACCTCGAACGCGCAGACGGCCAAAAGGACACCTACTCCTACCTCGCCTAGGTCTTCGCTCCAGGCGGCGGGCAGTGTTGCAATCTCGATCATCATCATCACAGTCGAAAAGACAACGTCCGGGTGTGTGTGTGTGATTGTAAACTTTGCCATTTTGCATTGCGTGCGTGTGTGTGTGTGTGGACGATGAGAACCGTATGTTGAACAGTCCAAACCGCATGCATCTGGGGGCAAAACAACCTACCTCTACTGTGGATCGTCACTCTGCGTTGAACTCTACACCACCCACAGACACGCGCGTTAGTCATGGATCACCAGTGAGTGCATGGGGTTGGGGAACTTACCTTTGGCATGGCGTTGGGTGCATCGGGTGTCTGTGCAGTCTGCGCCATCTGCCTCGCGCGGACACCAGCGAATCGCCAACCTGTCCGCATCACCACATGGCGCACCCCAAGACAGAGGCAGATACGCACGCACCCGACTCGCCACCTACCAATCCCAACACCACCCAAAAAGGTCAAGGCGTCAGCAAATCCCCTAACACTGCTGTCAGCCACCACTGCAACCAGCACGACTTACACTGGAAAACAGACTCGGAACCAGCGGCACATAGCGCGATCCACGCACCTCCTGCCGCCAAACCGGTTCCGAGCAAAGCAATCACCAACGGTCAATGGATCCAAAACACACACAAGAGCACCAGCGCACTTGCCCGCACTCACCTCCTTCCGCTCCAGTCCAGCGTCGCTCACAGCCATGCCAGTAGCTGGCGCTGGTACGCCCCCATCCTTCGCCGCCTCTGAAGTTGAAGCAGCGTCGCGTGGTACCGCGGCACTGGCGTTCTTGCGCCGGCTCGCGAGTAGCGCCAACAGCTGCTGGCGCTGCTTCTGCAATGCAGGATCAAGCCGCACGCTGCTGCTCGCCGTGCTTCCACTTTGTGACGACGCTTCCTTCACCGCTGCAGTCGAATCCGACTCGTCCGCAGGCTGCACCGCCGATTGGCTCCCATTCGCACCACCGGGCCGCAAGCCGGCGCCGTCCTCTTCTTCTGGTGCGCCGGAACGCTGTGCTGGCGACCTCGGCGGCGCCGTTGCTGCCTCTTGCTGCTTCTTGCGTTCCTCCATCATTTGGATCTTGCGCATCAGCTGCTTGATCTCGAGCTCCTTGCGCAGCAGGTCCTCGCGCGACGGCGTGCTGGGTCCACCAGACGACGTCCCGGACGCAGCGATCTGCGCGACCAGCGTCTCCGGCACCGCACCAACCTCGATTTCAAAGCCGCCGCTGTCTCGGTGCGGCGTGGCCGGCCTACGCGAGGGCGATAGACCGTTGAGCGAGCAGAAAACGTCATAGTGCTCAGTCGCCGTCCGGTGGCGCAGCTCGAGCACGCGGCGTGGGTCGAGCGCCGGTCGCACCTCGGTCCAGCCGTCCGCCGAGTCGAACGCCGCCATCTCGGCGTCGTCCGGCTCCTCGTCGGACAGGTCGACGACAGTGTTGAGGCCCGACGGCACGTCGAGAAACCGGTTCGGCGGCTTGGGCACGTACTCGGCCGTGTCAAAGTCGGCTGCTACAGGTCTCTGTCGGCGTGGTTGAGGCAGATTCGCTGTATCCGGGAGCTCAGGCAGTGGGGTGCTGAGGTCGACCTCGCCGGATGGCGCCACAGCTGCCCGGCTGAAGTTGTCGGCGTACGAGATGCGTTGCCTTCGAGCCGGCAGGGCCGAAGTCGCTGCGTCAGGCGCTGAAAGATCACCGTCCCAGGTTGAGTCGCTCGGATCGACAGCATCGATGTCTCGGTAGGCCCTCTTGCGGGACGTGCTGGACTGTTCTGCCGTTGGCTGCGCAGGTTGCAGAAGGCCACGCAGGACTCCGCTGATCTGCGACACGAGCGCATCGGCTTCGCCAGAGGTGGCGACGCGATCAAAGGCAGTGGACTTCTTTGACGATATGTCGGCTGAGGAAGGAACACTGCCGTTGCTCTCGGCGTTGGCACCTTCTTGCGCCAAGGCTCTCGACGCCGCAGCCGCCTTGGCTAGTCGAGAAGCCAGAGCCTTTCGTCGCAATTCTTCCAGCGGTGTGAGTGGCACGCCCTGTTCTTGCTTTTGCAAAAGCTCGTTTTCCGCCTTGGTCGTCTGCACCACTTCCTTAGCCCCCTGGCTTTCGGAGTCGCTTGGCGCCGTCGCTGGTGGCTCGGCTGGCTGCTCTGGCTGTCCCGCACCTTGTGCCGACACTCCGAGCTCGGCGCAGCACACTTCGATCATCGCAAGTGGCACGCCTTGCTCGGCCAATCGAGCCGGAGGCACTCCGCGCGAATGGAGCTCGCTGATCATGGCCAAGGCCTGGGGTTTGCCATCCTCGGTCCAGACGAGCTCGACGTTTGCTGAAGCAGGATCGAAGGGCGCCGCCGTAGCTGAGAGCGCCCTGAGCTTCTTGTCTTTCTTCTTCTGGTTCTTCAGAAGCTTCTTCCGTTGCTTCCGGTTCAGCTGCGCAGTGGAGTCATCCATCGCATTCGGATCCATGAGGTGCCCTGCGTAGCCTCCTGGATAGGGGTTGCTTTGAGGATACGGAGGAAAAGCGTATTGTGGCGGTATGGAGCCTGCTGCGAAAGGGCCAAAGGGCATGGGCATGCGAGGGTCATAGGGCTGATCGTTGGGAACAAAAGGGTGGGTCATCTGCGAGTAGTCTGAGCCGCCGTTGGCAATCGGATGCTGCGCAGACGCGGCAAAATAGACGCTGCCGTGCAAACCTTGATGATTTGGCTCAAAGGCAGAGTGATGTAGGTGTGGAAGATTGGGGTCGTACCCGTAATGGGACGGCAATTGTTGCTGCTCCTGCGCGACATCGCCGTGGGGCAGAGCGGGCGGCGGATAGGTCGGAGGCGGAGGGTGATGCTGGGCAGGATCAACCCACAAGCGTGTTTCCGCAGCTGCGCCATTGTCTCCAGCTGCACTAGCTCCCGCAAGCCTTGCAGAAGATGGCCCCGCAGCAGCGTTGGCATCCTGATTATGCTCTGGCACTTGAAAGCCTTCTGAGATGGCGGCTGTAGAAAAGGGGCCCAAGCTCGGCGGCCCCGTCGAGCATGCGGGATCCGCATCGTCGGTGTCGTAAGCTGCAGGAAGCTTGCGGGTGCTTCGAACAAGCTCGTCTGGCTTGGCGTGGGTCAAAGCGTGTGAAGATTTGACTTCATCTGCACCTGGTGCGTGGTCGTTCGTTTCATTCGTCACATCCCCTTGACTGCTTTCCAGTGGCGTTCCGTCGGCGCTGCCATAGTCCAGGTCAAGCACGTCGCCGGTTGGAGGTGGTGCCGGCCGACGCATCGTGCTTGCGAGATGGTGGGCCTCGTGGCTTGAGACGGACGATGCAGTCGTGTGCGTCCAGCTCAGCCCGAGTGGTGTTGGCAGTATGCCAAGAGAGTGTGATCGCGAGGAGAGCATGGCCATCACCCTCGGCCAGAAATCACACCTCCACGCTTCTTCCCAAACATCACATTTCAAATCTAACAATTAGCATTCTGCATGACCCTGCCTGCACCGGTCGACTTGGACTGCACATGCTATGCTGCTGCGATTGCGAGACGAGCGAGACTACCGCAACAGGAACAAAGAGTGTGGGTGGAAGGCCGTTTCGCCTCAAGTATTGCGGATGCGCTCGCGTTCGATGATGCTCTTTTGGTGCACGTCGCGGCTGACCCTCCAATAGTACTCGAGCACGTCGTTCTGCCCGAGCAAGGTCAGGAAGTCCTCGTCGTGCGTGATGACAATGAGCTGCAGCTGGCTGTTCTCGGCGCGTTCCTTGATCAAGTCCGCCAGGCTTCTCGCCAATGCCTCGATGTTGTCCTTGTCGAGATTCGTCGTCGGCTCGTCCAGCGCCAGGATGCCGCAGTTGCTGCCAAACGACTCGGCCAGCGCCAGCCGAATGATGATCGATGCAAGCACCTTCTGTCCAGCCGAACAGCGTCCGCGCATGTCCATCTCCACCGTATCCTTGACCATGCAGACGCGGTAGTTGTACGACCGGTTGCCTCGCGCGCCCTCGTTGTCCGACTTGATGAGGATCGTGTCGATGTCGGTCCCCTGGTACGTCTTCTGCCAGAGATAGCGGACAATGTCGTTGATCTCCTCCATCTTGATGGCGTGGTATCGCATGATGGCATTCTCGAGCGCCTTAGCGTACTTCTCCAGGTCGTTGTTCGCCATCTCGGACGTCTTGACCTCGATCAGCTTGCGCTTGTAGTTCTGATGCACGCCTTTGAACTCATCTCGCAGCTCCGCCTCGCGGCCCTTGATCTGCGAACGCAGTGAAGCAAGCTCTCCGCTGAGATGCGATGCTTCGCCGTTGAGCTTGTTCTCCTCCTCTTTGGCTTCGGTGTACTTGTCTGCAAAGTGCTTGCGGCTGCGCTGCGCCTGCTCGAGGTCGAGCGAATTGATCTCCTCCTCGATCTGCGCCACGTCCTTGGCCAGCTGCCGGTATCGAATGTTGTCGAGAATGTTGCGCTCGGTGGCCTGCGACTGATTGAGCTCCTTCTGCAGTTCGGCCGCCTTGTCCGTGAGCTCTTTGACATCGCGGTGAATGGCTTGGATCTGCTCGACGAGCGTGTTGATGGCTTCCTCGCACTCCTCCAGGCGCTCGTCGCCGCGCTGTTGGATGTAGGCGTTGACAGCAGCGTTGAGTTCTCTGATCTGCTTGGCCCAGCCTTCGAGCTCGTCTGCTCGCCTCTTGAGCTTGTTTTCCGCTTCGCCAGCCTCTGCCTTGAAAGTCTCCAACTCCTCCTTGGCGCGACGGATTGGTGCATTGGATGTCTCGATCTCGGCCTCAAGGCTTTTGATGCGTTTCTGCTGCTCTTCAAGGTCCGCATTCATCTCGCCGAGGTGCGTCTGCACGGCAGTCTTCTTGGCCTGCTCCTGCTGCTTGGTGATGACGGCCACCTCGGCTCGGTGCGCGTCTCGCTCGAGGCTGTTGATCAGCGTGCGCTTGGTCTCGCGGTCTTGCTGCAAGACGTTGAGCTCTCGCTTAAGCACTCGGATGGACGAGGCGAGCTGGTCGATCTCGGCTTGCACCTGTTCGCCCGTCTGCGTCGAGCCGGTGGTGGCGAGATCACTTTGCAAGCCGCGCACCTCGGATTCCAGGTCGCCAGCTTCCGACAGGAGCCGGGCAATGTCGGAGCCGACCCGTCTCAGCGACTGCAGCTCTTTGAGCTGGGACTGAATCTTGGACACTTCGGCGGAAGCTTTCTCGGCGGCCGCGGCGACCTGCTTGAGTTCGGCCTCTTTGGTATCCAGTGTCTTGCGCAATTCCGCCATCTCGGTGCCGCGGATGGCCTTGAGCTGCGCATCTTTGGCAAGGGCGATCTGGCATTCGGCGCTCCTCTCTGTCCAGCCATCGATGTCGGCCTTGAGCGTCTTCTTCTTTTCGGCTGTGTTGCTCGTGCTGAGGGTGGAGGAGACATGCTTCTCGATAGCTTCGTACTCGCTCGGAGTGACGCCGCGATTGCAGGCAAAGCAGTGACCCTTGCCCTTTGCTTCGCGCAGGACACGTCTCAGGAAGGAATCGAGCGAGTCGATCGATGCATACTCGTCCTTGGCGGCTGCGATCTCTTCTGCGCAGACCTTGACCGCTTCCTCGGCGCTGTCAAAATCGGGCGACAGGATGGCAGTGATGGCCTGCTGCAACTCGTTCGCCGCCGCTTCCTTGCTCTTGAGCTGTTTGCGAGCGAAAGAAATGGTCGATTCGACCTCCTGAAGCTGTCGGTTCTTTTCGACGTTCTTCGCCTCGACTTCGGAAGCCTGATTCTCGAGCTTTGACAGCGCCCGCATCAGCTCGTGCTCGACGGACGAGAGCTCGACATCCGAGGCGACGTGCTGAGAAATCGAGGCCTTGTGGCGGTCGAAAAGACCTTGCGCGTTGGTGCGGCGCGAGCCTGCCTGCTGCATCTTGAGGGCGAGAGAAGCTCGCAGCTCGGCATGTCGATTGAGCAGGTTGATCTCGGCGGTGCGCTCCTCTCGCAGATCGTCCTTCTCTCGGATCTCTGCGTTCTTGCGACGGATCTGTTCGTCGTAGTTGGCATCTGTGAACTCTTTTTGCGCTGCGGTCTGCTTGGCAGCCAGGCTCTCTCGTTCGCGCGTCGCAGCTTCGACGTCGGTATCGCTGAGCGCATACCCGTCCAGCTCCTCCTGTGCACGCTTGATCTTCTCGCGCAGCTTGCGCACGTTGTCGACGAGCTGCTCTCGCGCGTTCTGCTTGGCGCGCAGCTCGGCGCGAGCATTCTGCCATGCGGTGGTGAGCTGGTCGTCCTTCTGTGCATTTGCTTCACGTAGGCGGCCGAGTTCGTCGTCGAGCTTGCGCACGTCCTCCTTGACACGGTCTTCGAAGGACCGGATTTGTGCATCGCTCAGACCGTCGCCTGCAAAGCCCTTGATGCCGAGCTCGTTGCTGATTCTCTTGACGGCCGTCTCACGCTTCTCTTTTGCTTGGACGTGAGCGCGCTTTTCGGCCTCGAGACCGCCCTTGTCTGAGAGCTTCTTGCGATGACGCTGCTCGTGCGCTTCCAGCTCGTCCTCCCTCTTGGCGATGCGCGTCTGGAGCGTGCTGATCTTGGCATGGCTCTGATCGAGCTGTGCGCGGAAGGTCTGCTTGCGCTTCTGCAGGTCTTCGTCGTTATCCTTGATGGGCGTCATGGTTGCCTTGAGCGCCTCCATGTTCTCCTTGTGGAGCCTCTCCTTCTCTTCGAGTGTCTCGGCCCGACTGACGATCTCGCGGAACCGAGTGGCTTCGTCGTAGAACTTGGAGTTCTGGACGGTCTTGATGCGGATCTCTTCGTTGAGGTCCTCGAGTTTGGCCTCTTTCTGCGCGAGGTCGGCCTGAAGGTGGGTGAGTTTGCTCTTGATGGTGTCTGCGCGATCCTTGTCGACCTTGAGACCCTCGAGCGCAGCCTTGTCAACCTTGAGCTGGTTGGTGCGGTCCTTGCGGAGGCTCTTGATGTTGTCGAGCGCTTTGGTGTAGCGCGTCGCTTCGAAGATATCGTCGAACTTCTTCTTCAAGCTCGCGGGCTCGGCGAGGGGCCAGTTGCTGTCTTCCTGATGGCAGAAGATGACGTTCTCGAGGATGGACCTGGAGACGCCGAGGAGCCTTGGGATCTCCTCGTCGAGCTCGGAGCACTTTGTGGAGAGGGTGCCGCGCTTTCCCGTCTTGGCATCATCGTCGGCGATCTGGAGCAGGCCCTCGAGCGTCTTCATGGTGAGGCCGCCGCCCTTTTTGCGCGAGACCTGAAGGTTACGGACGCAGTTCATGCGGACCTTGTTGGCGGCATAGAAGCGCAGACGCACTTGGGCCTTGACTTCGTTGGAGGTGGCCATCTGCGGGTCGTGCACAAACGCGCCGCCCTTGGTGTTGGGTGGAAGGTCGCCGGTGGTGGCATACTTGAGGCATTCGATGATCGTGGTCTTGCCGCTGCCGTTGTAGCCGACGATGACGGTGAGCGGCTGAAAGAACTGGATGATGTTGATCGACTTGTCGTCGAAGGAGCGGACACCGCGAATGGCGAGCTTGTCGAGCGAAGCCATCTCTGCTGGAAAGGCCGAAGAGCGGTCGAGGTCATGCCAAGACGGCAGGCTTCGAGGTTTTGGTCAAGGAGAGGGGGGCTGCCAAAGTGAGCGCCTCAGCGCTATCGGAGCTCAGCCTCTGGAGTCCCTGGCTTACGATCTACGATGCGAGTGCGTGTCGATTGTGATTGAGGCGAAGGAGGGGAGCGTGGTGCCCCGGCGAGCAATCACAATGGCCGTGGGAAGGTGACGGCGAGGAAGGAGCGGCGGGGCATCCGGAATCAGAAGCAGCGGCTGAGTCGCGCGCATGTGGAGACCAACACTTTTTGGGCTCGGCCGCTGGGGAGGCGCGCTCAGACAGCTCAGGGTCTGGCTCACGTCCTGCCTGGGCCGCGGATCGTGATTTGGCGTGGAGGTCGACAGTCGGCTCATCCGACTTGCGACCTGCCGACTTGGACCCCATCATCATCGGCGCTTCCAGACCATCTTGGCTCGCATCCCACGCCATCGTCGCAAGGAGGCTAAGCTGCCGGTCGGTGCCCATACGAGCACGCGGTCTCGCTATCAGACCAACACGCCGTCAAGTGGCTCAGCGCACATCGAGAACCAGCCATGGCCTTCACATGCGATGCCAAGGACCCGCGCGCGCCCAGCTGGCTCAAGTGCGTCTGTCGCAACCTGCGCTGGGTGCCGTTCGTCTTCATCTTTGGCCTTATCTCGTTTGCCTACCTCACCGTCACCATCTCGCTCGCGCTGCGCTACCACCTCGCTCGCAAGCACGAATGGGGATCTGCGATCATCGAGCTGCTGCTCTCTACTGCGCTCGCTGGCGGTGCAGTATGGTCGTTCGTCGTTGCGGTCTTCCGCGATCCGGGCTCTCCTGGCCGTTCAGGGGACCGGGAAAGAAGGGGCGGTGCGCGACCTGCGAGCGAGTACGAGTTAGGCGGCGAGCCAGAGGAAGAGGCTCAATCTCTCATGCGTCGGCAACATCCGGGGCAGGGCCGACCATCGGGTGACGTGGATCACCACGGCAGACAAGACGAGCAGGACGGTGGGGCTGCTCGAGCCGCGCTGTTCAGTGTGCCGATTCCAGGCCAGCCGCAGTATCCGGCGCGGTCGGGTCGGGAGCAGCTGGCGGACCTGCAGCGGCTGCGGAGCCACGCCTCGTCGGCAACAGGCGCAGCAATCGAGCGACGCGCCAACATCTGGGTCAAGTCGAGCGGCGAGTCGCGCTGGTGCAACAAGTGCGATGCGCCCAAGCCGGATCGCTCTCACCACTGCAGCACCTGCAAGCGGTGTGTGCTGCGCATGGACCACCACTGCCCCTGGCTCGCCAACCGCTGCGTAGGCCTGCGCAACCACAAGGCCTTCTTCCTCTTCATCAGCTATACGGCGCTCTTCTGCGTGTACTGCTGCCAGGAGACCGCACGCGCGCTGCTGCGGTACGTCGAGTACGAGCAGAACGGCTTTGAGTCGAGCCCAATCACCTGGGCGGTGGTGCTCTTCCTCGGCTTCATCTTTGGCGCGAGCCTGGTGCCGTTTGCAGGCTATCATGCGTGGCTCATCTGCAAGAACCGCACCACGATCGAGAGCATGGAGGGCTCCGGGCGCATCCGGCTGCGCGTCAAGCGCGATGCGGCACGCCCGCGCGTCGAAGACCGGCTGCGCAGTGCCATGCGTACGTCCACCGACGCGCCTCCACCAGCACCAGCGCGTGGGGCAGGCGGAGGCGG